TGTTCTTGAATCTTTGTTCTGCCTGGATGTATAGTCCAATCAGTGTCAAGTCACATTATGTGGAGTACCTCCCCTTTATGTGCAGTTTCACTCTGGCTGAGAATCGTCCCGAGTGTGACTTCCATACAAAGATTTTTTTTTTGCAATCAGGCTGAATCCGAAATCGCCCCCTATACCCTCATTCACTATTCCCTACATTAGTCCACTAAAACAGTTCACTTGAAGGAGTAAATGAAAACTTGTGAGTGAATTCGACACTGAGTGTGCTGGAAGGACTGCCGCATTTACATAGTTTGTGCTTGCTGTTTAATAATCATTTGAAACTGGCAAACTGGCAGCTCCAGTAGTAAGATGAATGGATTTGTCTTTAACTCTGTCATGGAAATTATGTATAAACCTCAATTTAAAAAAATGAATAATCAATTTACAAAGAATTTATACCTGTATTAGGCTGTTGGGTTGAATGAGTGCACTCGATAATGTCCACTATGGTTTCTGACACCACTTAAAATGGCTGTCCCCTCAAATAGTGCCCTAATTAAGCGTATAGGGGGTGATTTCGGACACAGGCACTGCATCTGAAATCGTATAAATTGAAAAACAGTATGTGAGGCGAGTAGTATGTCCGAATTCATAGTATTAAAAAAAAAACAATAGGCGAAAAGTACCCGGATAACCTCCTACTTCCTGTCGGATTCTGAAGTGCGCATTCGTTGGACACTTTACTTTCTCATGAGGCCACAGAAGAGGATTTATGAATGGCAGTGAAATGATGCAACTGACGCTGGTAGGCCATGTGACAGTAACAACATGGCGGATGTCGTTCGTCATTCAAACTACCTATATTCATACTGGCCGAATTCAAAACGGAAGTGAGCATCCTTTTGCCCTACTCCCTTCGAAGAGCAGAGCCCTCGAAGTGTGTTCTTTGAAGGGTGTCGGCATTACTGTCTCATAAGCGTTTGGAACTCCCTTGATGAAGGGAATGACTGACCAAATGACACTTCATCAGTTGTTGCAAATAAATATTTATTCTTCTTTTATTGTCTTATTTACTATTCATCTTTTTCAAACTAAACTTAGGCTACTTAAACTTGCTTTCACTACAGTCTCAAATCATATTTCTATCACTGACAAAAAAATATTTTGTCTTCCATTAAAATAAAGACAAATTTAATTAGCCTATTCTATTTACATTTGTATGTGAACTCGAAATCAACCCCAACTTTGCTTTAAAAAGCATTGCAATATCTCCTAACCGAAGATCACATGATCACAAACGGAAATCACTTCTGTGAAGTGACCATCCCATGTTCCCTTCGCTAATGGACTTCTGCCCTGCGTTCCATTCGGAAAGGCTCATCCCTATGCCCTAATCCCGTCAAAGTGTTTACCCCCCGGAGTGAGAGCTATGAAGGGTGTAGGGGTCAAAAAAACTATTTTTTTGGAATGCACTTCTGCGTCATCTTAACGAGACGATTAAGCAGGCGCCTTCATCATACATTTTGTACGCTGTTGACCCCCAGTCGGCTTTTACGTTAAATATAATGTATATATGCAATGTAATGTGATGTAATACAGTATATTTGTAATGTATATTGTGTCTATGTATTTGAAACATTTGAATAGACTGATAAAGGTAGCTGTAAAGTATTTTGTTGAAGTACAATGTCGTTTTGACCATAATAATCCAGTAGCCCCTCACTGCAGAACACCACATCCAGGGGGCCTGGTTGGATCCACATCTAGGGGGTGGAGATGGGTGGGTTTAGGGGTGGAGATGCGTGGGTTTAGGGATCAGGGGGTGGAGACGGGTAGGTTTAGGTATATGTAAGGTGGGAGGAGTTGGATCTGGATCCAACCACGCCCCCTGGATCTTGTGTTCTGCAGTGAGGACCATCTCTAATAATGTGCCAAATCTAACTCGTTAAAATATTACAGTAGTATAGAAAAATACTATGCATACATTTATAGGCGAAGTCGAACTCTGTGACACCAAACAAATTATCATGGGGGCCCGAAGTGTCCATCAGTTGTACCCAGGGCCGGTAGCTGACGCGGGGCCCGGTGCGAGGTAGGGAGCGGGACCCCCCTCGGTACGTTCGCCGTGGGGCCCCCTCAAGCTCAGGGCCCGGTGTGACTGCACCAGTTGCACCCCCTTAAGGACGGCCCTGGTTGTAGTCTTCAAAATCCAAACATACCTCTATTAATTATCTTTAAGCTGAAGTCAGGTCAGGACTAGTCTGAATGGCCTGAATAAAGCAAACCCAATATCTCACCAGTAAAGTTTTGATGGATGAGGATTATATTGGCGGTAAAGACAATTACTGTGAAATACAAGAGTTGTACATGAATAGACTAGCACAAGCCCATTATTATTAATGTGCAAATAAACAGACCGTGTCTGTGCGCTCACTGAGAGCTTTTTGCATGAGAACATTTCAGTATGATCGCATGTCTGGCAAGTGTTTTATAATGGACACTAACTGAAGAAGCATGTTTTTAATAGGAGTTTGCTGCGGTCAGTTGTGTTTATATACAGTATATGGGCATCAACACACTGACTGTTCACTGGTGATGTCGAGCCGCCTTCAGATCGTCACATTCGACAAATTCAGAATGTTTGGTTACACATTATTTTAAGGTGTCCTTGTTACAGTGTAATTATACATTTAAGTACTGATTAATATTAATTAACTACGTGTACTTACTATATGGTTAGGGTTTGGTTTAGGTTTACGTGCATGTAATTATTATGCATAATTAATTGTTGTTATTATAGTAGTAAGTACATGTAAGGACACCTTAAAATAAAGTGTTACCGAATGTTTTTATTTACTAATTTGTGTTTTGCTCTGTTTAATAATTCTGAATGGATCCCTATATGTCTATATACAGTCAGGTTAAGGCGACTGGTATTGTGGTCTGTTGGCATCACCGTGTGCTCCTGTTTGGTATTGCAGCTTGACTTGTAGTTATAGAAAATGCTCTAAACAAATGACATTTATTTTTTCCTCACAGTTTTTGCTGTTGCACTGTATACATAAATTGTGAATTATGAAATAATTAAATAATGTTTTATAATATGTTTGAATTTATCTTGAAAAATTCTTTCAGAAATTGTGAGAATCATCCTCAAACTTAATCTTGAACTTGGTAAAACAATTATCTTTATTTAAAATGTTTCAAGTGTTAATACTTTTCCTTTTGTTATACTGGGATAAATCATACTAGGATGTAGGCTATGCTAAAATTGTTGGACGTTGCGCCCTATACCTGAAAAATGTTCCACCATCCGCCACTGTATTAATTTCATGAAAAAGAATAACTTTTTCATACAAGTATATTATAGGAGGTCTCACTCCTCCGTCCAATATTCTCCCTCTTTATCCTCTCTCTCTCTCTCTCTCTCTCTCTCTCTCTCTCTCTCTCTCTCTCCCACTCGTTAAAATATTACAGTAGTATAGAAAAATACTATGCATACATTTATAGGCGAAGTCGAACTCTGTGACACCAAACAAATTATCATGGGGGCCCGAAGTGTCCATCAGTTGTACCCAGGGCCGGTAGCTGACGCGGGGCCCGGTGCGAGGTAGGGAGCGGGACCCCCCTCGGTACGTTCGCCGTGGGGCCCCCTCAAGCTCAGGGCCCGGTGTGACTGCACCAGTTGCACCCCCTTAAGGACGGCCCTGGTTGTAGTCTTCAAAATCCAAACATACCTCTATTAATTATCTTTAAGCTGAAGTCAGGTCAGGACTAGTCTGAATGGCCTGAATAAAGCAAACCCAATATCTCACCAGTAAAGTTTTGATGGATGAGGATTATATTGGCGGTAAAGACAATTACTGTGAAATACAAGAGTTGTACATGAATAGACTAGCACAAGCCCATTATTATTAATGTGCAAATAAACAGACCGTGTCTGTGCGCTCACTGAGAGCTTTTTGCATGAGAACATTTCAGTATGATCGCATGTCTGGCAAGTGTTTTATAATGGACACTAACTGAAGAAGCATGTTTTTAATAGGAGTTTGCTGCGGTCAGTTGTGTTTATATACAGTATATGGGCATCAACACACTGACTGTTCACTGGTGATGTCGAGCCGCCTTCAGATCGTCACATTCGACAAATTCAGAATGTTTGGTTACACATTATTTTAAGGTGTCCTTGTTACAGTGTAATTATACATTTAAGTACTGATTAATATTAATTAACTACGTGTACTTACTATATGGTTAGGGTTTGGTTTAGGTTTACGTGCATGTAATTATTATGCATAATTAATTGTTGTTATTATAGTAGTAAGTACATGTAAGGACACCTTAAAATAAAGTGTTACCGAATGTTTTTATTTACTAATTTGTGTTTTGCTCTGTTTAATAATTCTGAATGGATCCCTATATGTCTATATACAGTCAGGTTAAGGCGACTGGTATTGTGGTCTGTTGGCATCACCGTGTGCTCCTGTTTGGTATTGCAGCTTGACTTGTAGTTATAGAAAATGCTCTAAACAAATGACATTTATTTTTTCCTCACAGTTTTTGCTGTTGCACTGTATACATAAATTGTGAATTATGAAATAATTAAATAATGTTTTATAATATGTTTGAATTTATCTTGAAAAATTCTTTCAGAAATTGTGAGAATCATCCTCAAACTTAATCTTGAACTTGGTAAAACAATTATCTTTATTTAAAATGTTTCAAGTGTTAATACTTTTCCTTTTGTTATACTGGGATAAATCATACTAGGATGTAGGCTATGCTAAAATTGTTGGACGTTGCGCCCTATACCTGAAAAATGTTCCACCATCCGCCACTGTATTAATTTCATGAAAAAGAATAACTTTTTCATACAAGTATATTATAGGAGGTCTCACTCCTCCGTCCAATATTCTCCCTCTTTATCCTCTCTCTCTCTCTCTCTCTCTCTCTCTCTCTCTCTCTCCATACATCAGTATGTGTTTAGCACTGCACGCGCACTGGAGCCCGTGAGCGGAGACGAGGCTCGTTTAGTATTCTGTGCACAAGGCGAAGGAGGGAGAAGGGAGGGAGGACAGAGAGCGAAATAGAGAGAAAAAACGAGGCTGTGAAGACAGGCGAAAACACAAAAAGAGAGGAGGAAGAGGGGAGCGGAGAGACACCTCCTCTGTCCCTCTCGGTCTACCCTTTGGTATCCGTCTGTCCCAGGTGCGGTATTTCAGCCTTTATCTGTCTTTGGGTGTGCGGGGCGGATGTTATGATGTTGCTTGTTGTAACGCGTCGCATGAGAAAATTTATATTTGGATGAATGTGAGCTCGGAAGAGAGAGTGTGGATATAATGTAGACAGTCGTTCTGTTTGAGATCTGCATTGCTTTTAACGGTACAGACTCCCTACGGATTGTTGTGTTCAGGTTATCCATAATATATCTGTGTATTTGTGCGCGCGCGCTTATGTGTTGTAAAGGTCTGTACGTCTGTCCAGTATCGTCGTGCAAAAACCTCTCAGCGGCTTCAGTAATCTTCAAATTTATCAACTGCAAAATCATGCATGAATATGTGCTGAGCATCGTGACCCCGCATTTTCAGACGTGCATATATGTGTGTGTGCAGCATTGTATAGAGGGATTATCAGCCAGACACTGGCACTTATGTAATTTTGTTCTTAACTTCCATATTTCCTACTCTACATGCTTAATCTGCATATGCATATATAATTCAAGAGGAAAGGATGTGAAATGTACATATGAAGCTGCTTCCCTCCTCTTTAACCCCTTATCAGTTGTTCCTTCCCCTCCAAACCCCACCCCTCCCCACAGTCTTCAAAGGCAGGCTTACAGGCTTCTACCAGGGATAGGACCATAATTATGCAAATATTAATACATCCATATGGAACCGTCACAGGAATCCTCTCCTTCGCTCACTGACAGAATATAACGGCATTGGTAAAAGCCATATGAGGGGGCGATTAATTCACCCCCACAATGTGACGGAGCGGGTGATGATGTTGCCTGGCTGTCGGGCTGCCGAGAGCTTCCCTCTACGCTTTATCTGTGTGGGAGCTGAATCTTAAGGGCTGGCACAGAGCGTCACCAGTATCCCAGGGTTCCTCGCACTGCTCACTGCTCTTTCTTTTGCCTGTGTTTTCCTGTGTGATGTTATAGATAATTTAGATACGCTGAGGTCCTGGACAGCAGAGCGGAGGAGAGAGAGGATGGGGGGTGGGAAACTAGGCCCACATGAAATCTGCAGATTTCCTCGGAATTGGGACAAGTGTCATTCATATAATTCTAGAAACTTCCCACCCCCCTTGCGAATTTGTTTATTAATTACGTGGGCTAATTTGATTATGCTTTCAGCTAGTCTGAGGAAGTCTGCAGATTCCATCTGGTCCTGAGGCTAGCTTGAAGCAGACTTTTACCTGCAATGTCCATTTACAACTGTTTTTGAATAGAACCGAACTCCTTTAAGACACTGAAAACAGTGTTACAGCATGCTCTAAGCTACCCCAGCTTGCAGCCACAAGCCATGAAGGCCTAAAGTATCTTTTTTACAGGGATATGAAATATCACCCCTGTCTTTGGCCAGCGGCGGAGGTCCGGTTGTGTAAATGACAGCAGCCGATGGCAGGGCAGTTTGTTTAGTATCCAGTGAATAGGCCGGACACCGGAGAGGATGGAGAATGTGTCCAGGAACTCACAGTGTCATGGCAGATATGAGCAAGACGATGAGATGACGCAGTGAGTGTTCGTAAGCAGAGGTTGTGACCGCGCAGAAGGCCGTTTAGCCTGGTTTCCTCTTCCAGTGCATTCCAGTGATTTAAGGGAGTGACATGGTACCAGGCGACAAAAGAGTTGGAAGGGTTAGAAAATCAAGAGAGCGACTGCATTGGAGGGAGAGAGGGAGATGAAGAGAAATTGCTACACAAGTCTACTAAAACAGCATTGTTATCATTTATTCATTCATTTCCACTTTGCAGAAAGTCTGGAAACATTTTGTTTTGAAGCCAGAGGGGTAAAGAAAATTACTGCTATCTTCTGACAGGTTTTTTAAAAAAAGCAACAGTCTTACAGAAAACAAAAGCAGATTAGACTCCCGATGACACTGCAGATAAGACCACAGGCATGGAGGTGATACAGTGAGTGTGAGGAAAAAAAAGGGAACATAAAAAGAAGGAAAGAAAAAAAACCCACAATGGCTTCATTCAGAAATTACTCTAATATCCTATTGGTTATACTTAATGGATTTACATCCCTTGTCAATAGGAGTGTTCAAAATCATAGCCTCAGTTGAGAAGAAAAGGATTAGCCATAATTTTTCTTTTACAATTAGTCTCAGTCACATCTATCAATTTCAGGGGAATAAGGGAAGTTGTGAGGCAGGATTCCATTGAGTAAAGAGGAAAGGCGGGAAAACTTCAAATGGAGGCAGGCGATTGTGGAAAATACAAATGCTTCATACATACGGAATGTGCCTCATATTACATTTTGTTATTCTCAATGTATCTTAGTGGTGCTTAAAGCTAAAACATTCAATGCCAATATAAGCTGCTACATACTCACACATCACATTATTTACTTAATGGATTTGTTAGAAGAGTTCAACTTTATAATCTCAGAAGAGAAGATTTTTAGCCTCAGAAGAGAAGATTATTGGTTTATCATTTGTCTTTTATTTATATATATATATATATATATATATATATATATATATATATATATATATATATATATATAATAATTTTACCTTACATGTATATCTTGCATACCTTGATATATGTGCAAATATGCAAAATGAATAAATGTACACATAAAATTTTTAAAAGTTGCATTTGGAGATGGATTACATGGTTCAGAAATGGTTGGAATTCCATGACACCTCTGATTTCCATAACACAGCAACTAAAACATTTGTTTATATTTACATATCTGCATATTTAAACACTAGATTTGAGACTGGAGAACAGCTCAAAGAGTTGCAATACTGAAGCAGACTGCCAAACAAAAAAATAGATACATTTTAGAATGTGTATGGTTTGAATGATGTGCATATATTTGATCCTCTGGATCATCTTATGCCAGATTCTTTGCAAGCAAAATGGAAGACCCTGCATCCAGGCATGTCGAGGTTTGTCATCTTTTGAAGACTTTACAGCAACTTAACCATTAGCCTACAAACCAGTCAACTTAAATAGGACAGTGGATGTTGCCTGCGGGACAAAACTAATTGCATCGTTCTTCTTAATAATTGTTAAATAATTTCACCTCAGGGCCGAGGACTGAACCTCAGACCCATCTGCTCTCTGCTGTATAAACAGGCAGTGACCTGAGTGACTGCTGCTCATCTGTGGTGTTGACGGACAGCCCCTCTGACAGACCTCGACTTGAGACACCTGACAGTTGTGTAGTGAATGCCAGGTGTCTTATGTATGAACAGTCAGCAACATTATTATTGTCAGTAACTTGCCTTACGACAACCCATATTTGTGAGTGCTGGCTGCAGTTATTTAGAGGTTATTAGGACCAGTTGTATTGTAGGATGGCCTCATTTGTCACGCTAGCTCATGCCCCCCAAAACGTCTGCAAATCCACTTGAATGGATCAAACTGGTGGAATTACAAATTAAAAAATTCATCCACGCCATGACGTAAATTACATCATCGCTTTCAGTCTCGTCCGAAATGATATAAATGTGAAATGATGATTTGTGTGCCATTTTTAGAGGACACTCAGCTTTTAAATTAAAGCTGCACCTCTGTTCCTGTGACCTTTTATTAAGCTTGCAGTGTTTTACAAGGATTTATTGACTGATAGTCAAAAAAGGTGATTATTAATGATTGACAATCTGCAAAAAAAATTAAAATTGCTTTTGTACATTAATAATAATAATTAAATATTATGCATTTGCTTGTTAATTGTGAAGTCCACACTACGGTTTTTGTTTTGTGATAAGCTGATTCAAACCGATTGTTCATTTTGTGATTTAAACAGAATTTACAAAGTAACATTTTCAAATGGTTTTTAGTTTTTAAGTAATTGATTTTATGTTTATTTCAGCATCAAGTGCTCTACTGAGATCATCTCTTCTGCTTTGAAATCACTTATTGTTGTCCGTCATTCAGTGACACAGCGACCTGATCTAGTCTTTCTGCTTTCTGGGTGTTGTCTGAATTGTCTAGACGTCAAACAGAGCTGCAACCTTCAAATGTTTCCATATTTAATGGCAATGCAATTATGGCCATTTTGATGGATGTCTCTAAATATTGACCTTTCTGGTTGTTTGTGTCCGTGTTCATACCCAGATAATCATTGCATTTTATTATAGGTTTTCATCTCTAGTGTGGGATTGGACAGGGGCTTTTATGGCCTTTATGACATGTTTGGACTGTGGCAGTTGTGTCTGGCTTGCGTGTGATTGGACAGTGACCATACAGGTTGCTGGGGTCCCTGTTGTGGGGTGTTGCTTTTCCTGGAGATATCGATTAAGACCTGGGCAGCAGTCAATGGAATGTCTGAGACAGGTTTCTTGTTCTGTTGTCCACGTGTTTCATGTCGGTGTCACTTGCATGGATTTTACCACCACATTATTCTATTCCGGCTTTTTTCCATACGCACAGCCCATAATGCCCTGAGTGTTGGTGTAGTTTTATTACAGCATATCACTTGTAAATGCCTGTCCTCTAGATATTTACACTTGCATCACGATGCTTTTTCCGTCTGGACTCCAAGGCCACATGCTATATGCCCTTCAGACTTATTTTTCTTCTAAAGCCTTATAGTTTGTCTTGCTCTGGCTTTCTCTCTCATTGCCTCTTTCTTTCACCTGCTCTCCCCTCTCAGTTCCTCTCTAACTTTGTTCTCAATTGACCTGGCATTTCTGAACAGTGACACTGTAGTTCGCTGCCAGACGGCCATTTTTAAGTCAATCTCGGACAGATTTACAGGCTGAACTGTGGTGAGGAGAGCAGACAAGAGTTTTTTGTTTTGTTTTTTTTGGGGTGCTTTTTAATTAGCTAATCTGAGGCTCATTTTTACAATGGCCTGAAGATCTGAGATAGACAGTTAAATGGACCTCAGTCTGTTTGGGTTTCCTTTAGATGACGCTCTGGCTGATGGACCACTTCTGCACGCAGATTAGGCAAGGATCGAATGAGTGTGTGGGTGAACATCTTGACCTGAGTCCTGCCCCGAATGACTTATAGCTGTACTTAAGGCTTTGACTGATTGATTGATTGATGGATCAGAGTGGGAAAGATGGATGGAAAAGACGCAGCTAGCTGGAGAGAAACCATCCACCTTACAATGAAAGACCAATGACATTTAACAGACCTAAAAAGCATGAAAGAATAGTCTATCAGAATGATAGATGGACGATCGGCTCAATAAGACGAGGTGTCCCGTCAGAGAGAAACAGATCAGACTTCTTGACGGATTTCACTGGCTTGAAAAAACTCTGACGATCATTGAATCGATTAGCATATTGACAGATTTGCACACTTTTTCTGGGCTTGCACTGTTTTAGCTGATGCAGAGAGGGGATGAAGACGGATAGACAGAGGGGGTGGAAAGAAACACTTGGAGGAGCGCTGAGACACGGAGCAAAGGAGAAGGCAAATGAAAGGTGGAGCTTTGACCTGGTTTTGTGAGACAGAATGAGCACAGAACAAAGGAAGAATACTGAGAGATATCATAGATCTAGATCCTCATGCTGACAAATTATATACACATGGTCCCCTCAGCAGATGAATTGCTACAACTTTTTTTTTTTTTTAATGCTGTCTGATTTGTGAAAACACAGATTTGTAACATGTATTTTAGGTTCTTTGTAATTCAAAAATCACAACAATTTGATCATTGTAAACTAGATGGCAAAAATGTAATTACTGCAGTCTTTATGGTAACACTGCATTAAAGTCCTCTTTATGGAAAAAGTGCTGGTAGCTTTATTCCTTAGTGTAGATCTGACCTTTATTCTAATCCATTAATGAAAAGCTTCTTGAAATTACAAATGGATGAACTCTGTCTAGTGCTGTGGTGTTGATGTAATAAAGTGTTGTGAATATTGGCCTACTTAACGTGAACCTTAAGTGCATTTATCCTCTACATGAGGGATTAAAGTTTGCCCATTCAAAAGCATGAAAAAACAAGGTTTGTTTTAGTGTTTTCGTTGCTCTTCGTCTGCAGTGTGCTGTGAGTGTGAGAACTGTTCTGTATTGTGTGATTGTGTTGTGTCACGCCCCATTTTCACATTTGGTATACTGAGAGATAACATAGATCTAGATCCTCATGCTGACAAATTATATACACATGGTCCCCTCAGCAGATGAATTGCTACAACTTTTTTTCACAAACTGATTTGTGAAAACACAGATTTGTAACATGTATTTTAGGTTCTTTGTAATTCAAAAATCATAACAATTTGATCATTGTAAACTAGATGGCAAAAATGTAATTACTGCAGTCTTTATGGTAACACTGCATTAAAGTCCTCTTTATGGAAAAAGTGCTGGTAGCTTTATTCCTTAGTGTAGATCTGACCTTTATTCTAATCCATTAATGAAAAGCTTCTTGAAATTACAAATGGATGAACTCTGTCTAGTGCTGTGGTGTTGATGTAATAAAGTGTTGTGAATATTGGCCTACTTAACGTGAACCTTAAGTGCATTTATCCTCTACATGAGGGATTAAAGTTTGCCCATTCAAAAGCATGAAAAAACAAGGTTTGTTTTAGTGTTTTCGTTGCTCTTCGTCTGCAGTGTGCTGTGAGTGTGAGAACTGTTCTGTATTGTGTGATTGTGTTGTGTCACGCCCCATTTTCACATTTGGTGTGGACAGACAAATGTCACTAGAATCTTGTTGCGTTGCACTCTGTTAGGATTCGGTGTTAACCATGAAGGTGAAGTGTGTCTACCGAATTACAATGTTAAAATGCTTTTTGGCAAGGATACTTCTAAATAAACTTAAGTACAAAATATAATAAAAATAGAAACCGTTATTTTAAATTGTAATAATATTTCACAATATTATTTTTTACCACATTTTTTATCAAATAAATGCATAATAATTATGAAACTAATCCCAGTTTAGTATTTGTGAACAGGTATTATTATAGTATGTCATCCTGACACAACAACATTTGCATAACCAATAGTGTGAGTTTGGGGTGGGGCTATCATTTAATCAGACCAATGGTCTGAAAACATAAATGATCATGTTCTCTTTGGTAACACTTGTGGTGCTGAAATTTCACACTTTAGCTTTAAAGATATCAAACAGAATCGCAAAATATGTTATTGATCAAACATATAGCCCCGCCCAAACCTCACATCATTGGTTGAGCCAATGTATCAGGCAGCTCAAATTAACATTACAAGTTTAGCATCGAAATTACTTGTCACCTTTAATCTTCAGAGTATCATGCAACAACAGCTTACAAGATAAACTTGTTTTGTGGTTGACCACATCCTCATTCCCAAGATGCACAGTACAAGGAGAGCTGTTTGTCTTTGGGAAGAAACCGATATCCAGAATGATTGGTTCTTCTCTGCATGCTATTGAGCTCTGCGAACACAGCGGGTTGCCTTGATAATTTAACCATAATTTTTTTACAGAAGTTTTTTTTAATGTGTGCCTCATTTTTTTCTCTCTCTCACACACACTCTCCCTCTCTTTTCAGGCAGTTTCAAAGCTCCTGTAGAACATTCCAGAAATACAGCCACAGACCACAATGAGCCGTAAAGCTTGAATGGAAAAACAAAGAGAGAAACCTAGTGGAAATAGACAATACATCTCAAAATCAACCCTGCCCTGATGCTGCTTTAAGGACTGAGCCTGCAAACACTTTCCTCTTCCGTGACTGATGATTTAACTGAGAGTAATAGTCCACAAAATCTAGGCTATGCTTTCTGAACAACAGAGCTATATATAGTCTCGTTGTTTATCCATTGAGCAAATTCTTAATATCTATGTGAATTGAATTGGTTTCGACCTTCTTCACCATGACAAGGACTCAGGGATCTCATTGTCATCCTTTATAACAAGTATGTGCACAAAAACATCTTGTGAGCAAAGCACATTCAATTCAATAATGGATTTTACATAATGAATGCATGCATTGTCTTCTCCTCCCTTGCTCTCATTTCTTCTTTTTTTCTTCTCTCTCCTGTTTTTCCCCCCAGGAGCCTATGTTATTATTGAAAAGGGTGATTGTGGCACACTTACCAATGGGTTTAGCAACCATTAAAGCGTTCAATTAACGGTCAGAAAGAGACCGTCTCGGCTCCTTGTCGAAACGTTGTCCTTCAGAATCCAAAACGAGACACACCCTCTCCGCTCAGTTGGTGTGGGCGGTGAGAGCTGCACCACGATTGGTTGAGTGCAGGGTGGGTGTGCGATGCGGATTGGAAGATGTCGGGGGACTGGGAAGACGACCTTTGCAAGAAGGTGTTGGTGCTGGTGGAGGAACTATGCTTCCAGTCTGGAGGCTTGAGCCAGAGTGCGAGCTGTCAGGAGTTCCGCTACATGATGAGAAGACCTAACAGACAGCTGAACACAGGTAAGAGCACAGCACAACCTGTTAAAAGGATGGTTGATTCAAAAATTATCATTCTGTCATCATTTACTCACTTTCATGTTGTTACGAACCAGTTTGACTTACTATTTTTCTCCATGGTACTCAAAAGGAGCCATTGTGCAAAGTGCTCTCTTGCCCATGCAGTAACAATGAATGGGAACTACAAAAAGAGCTCAAAGGCATCATAAAAGTGGTCCATATGACTTATATTCTAAGTCTTCTGAAGTTTCACAGAAGAAAGTCTTACAGGTTTGGAATGACAGGAGGGCGAGTCATAAATGATGACAGAATTTTCATTTTTGGGTGAACTATCACTTTAAAGCCTATTCAGCGCTTGAATTGCTATGATTTATGTATGACGTCTAACCAAAATACTGACTTGGACCTGACAAACGGCCTAAAAGGTTCATTTTCATCATCAGCCTACCTCACTGAGTCATGTGACCAGGAAAGAGCCTCACTGGTAAAAGCTGCTCGTTCATGTAATTGCGCCTGGCCATTTTAATTTGTATTCAAGCCATGCCCACCACAGGTGTTATGGCTGGATGCTGTGTTCAGAGTGAGACTGTCCTGTTTACAGATTTAGTCATTATTGTTTAAATTCCCAAGTGCCCAGTGATTGAAATGGAATTGGGCTTGCATTCTCTCTAATATGAAATGGCACAACCGCAGTTAATTGAAATAGCTCTAAGCTCCTTGTAAAAAGAAGGGTAAAAAATGAAACTGCATAGGCTTTCCTTCCTAGGGTCTCCAAACACCCAACAATCACCCAAACGGAGGAGGCTGTCAGTTAAAGCTAATCATTGTCTTTATTTCTTAAAGGGATAGTTCATCCAAAAATGAAATTGTTTTCATCATTTACACACCTGTTTGACTTTATTTCTTCAGTGGACACCAATGAAAATTGTCTTCATGCTTTTTTTTTTGTCCATATAATGAAAGTCAGTGGGAGTCAATCTTATTTGAATGGACAAAAACATTTAAAATATTCTTTAAAAAAAAAAACAGTTTTTGTCTTCTGCTGAAGAAAAAAAAAAACAGGTTTGAAACAACGTGAAGGTAAGTAAATGATGACAGAATTTTCATTTTTTTTAACCCAAATGCTGGGTTCAGCCTGTTTTATTGGGTTATTTTTAATATTTTTACCCAGGTGCTGTGCAGTTTTTCTGCACTCTAAAAAATGCTGGGTTCAGCTTGTTGGGTAATTTTATTGGGTTATTTTTTATATTTTTTACCCAGGTGCTGGGTCATTTTTCTGTAACTCAGCTGCTGGGTCATTTTTTACTGTCAATACGAATAATAAATCTGCCAAGCACGGGGTCAGTGTAACCCAATTTTGGGTAGTCTGTGCCAAACCAGTTAAAACTGGATACATTTGTCAGTGGTCATTTTGTGTTCTGCTCTGAGAGAAAACTCAACTGACGGGAAACTTCCTGAATGAAATTAAGGTGTACTGTACTGTATTGTTTAAATGTACTTCGCAGCTAACGTCTGCTTGTAACGCTAGCCTTCTACAAACGCAGTATTCACCAAATCTCCACACAAAGTGAAGGACCCGCCACCTCCTTGCCAAACGTATGCACAACCAGGGCTGAAACACGACGCGACACCGCTGTTATATGTAACAAAGTTTCCATGCTCTCCACTGACTGCAACAGGATTGCTATTGGTCTACGTAGTGCGCCATTGTTGCAGCTGTGGTCGCACTATGTATTTGACGGGTCGAAACTTAAATGTCTGACAGACAAGATGACACAGACAAGATGGTAAAGCTGTTTTTGTTGTAACTTTTCAAACATGAATATAAGATAAGTCATGATTATAAGTGTAACATAGTTCGGGAAGGAGGTGGGAACCGGCGAACATTCAAACAAAACTTTAATAATAAAATAAACACAAAATGTGTCGCGCACAAATGGAACCAAAACACAAAATAAAATCCAGGCCTGGTCCTCTCTCGTCTTTCACTGTCGTAGCTCCTCCTTTTATCCTTCCAGAGCTCCTCCGTGGGACTCGAGACCGGTGAGTGGTGCAGGTGTCGCTCATTATCAATTACTCCACCGGCCTCGCTCCGTTCCCACGGCTCTCGGCCCCGCCCCACTCATCGCATACCCCCATCGCCCCTCGCAGGCCGAGGGGGGGGGGTACTCCCAAGACTGCGCTCTACTTCCCCCGGCGATCACGGCGGCCGCGGCATACCTGGGGGTAAGGACAGACAGATGAGGCGAGAGAAAAGGAGACGGAAGGATGAAGAGAGACCGATACGAGAAAAAATGTTCTCGGACGCACTGCCACTTGGTCCTCAACCGGCTGAGAGGCTCTCACTCGCGGTGCCATGCGATGGTACTGAACATCTTTGGGGGACAGCCCCCCGCTCCTCCGCCTCCTGGCGGACGGCGATGGCTCCTCCTGTTGAGGGCAGCCGGCAGCGAGTCCCCCGTTCCCTGCTCCTCCCCAATCATGGCAGATGGCAGCAGGCTCCGGCCTCCTGGCGAACGGGGCAGACTCCTCCGCTCCCTCTTGGACAGCAGCCACCCCTCCTCGACCTAGGAGCGTAGCAGCGAGCTCTCCGTCCCACTTAGTCTTCCATCGTTCCAGCACCACTGCCTCGGGCAGCCACCGGCAGTCTCTCCGTTTGTTCCTGCTGCCCGATCTCCTCAGCACCACGACCCCCCCTCAGCAGCGAGGGCTCTCTGACAGTGTGTCCCTCCTTCCTCCCCGGTTTCGGCACCAATGTAACACCGTTTGTAGATCTGGAAGGAGGAGGCGGGAACCGGTGAACATTTAAACACTTTAATAAAATAAACAAGCACAAAATAAAATCCAAGCCTGGTCCTCTCTCGTCTTTCACTGTCGTATCTCCTCCTTTTATCCTTCCGGAGCTCCTCTGTGGGACTCGAGACCGGTGAGTGGTGCAGGTGTCGCTCATTATCAATTACTCCACCGGCCTCGCTCCATTCCCACGGCTCTCGGCCCCGCCCCACTCATCACAATAAGTCATTTAACGAACTGGAACAGCCTACTGATAGCAGTTTTCTTCCCACAGATTCCCTTTGGCTGGTCTTGCTGCTCCTGTCACGTCCTAAAACCTTTACTGAAGATTTTATGATTGCAAAAGACTGACTTGACATTGAATAAAAAAAATATTGTAAATGAACTGTTCTTCTCCTATATATATATAAAACAGATTTTAGAGCACATTTTTATTATTTCAAATGAAAAACCTTCAATAGGTTGACTAACCCAGCACAATGTCAAACACAACCCAGCAAATGAGTTAATGAGTAAAACCCAACAAGCTGGGTTAAAATAACCCAGCATGTGCTCTGTCCAATATTTACCCAGTGCTGGGCTTCCAGATAACCAAGAAATTGTTGTTTTTAACCCAGCATTTTTTAGAGTGTATAATGCTTTCAGGATGTTTATTCTAATGAATACAACCATTTTGAATGAATTCTGGACATTTGCTTAAATGAACAGGTTTTGTCAGTCATTAACTGTCGGTCATTAGTTATTAGGGCGGTGCTGGATTCAATTCTGCATTTTGTATCATGAAAGATATGTTAGAAGCAGGGTCCAAAATGACATTTACATTTTAAATGTATTCATTTAGCAGAGGCTTTTAGCCAAAAGCAACTTACAAACGAGAGTAACACAAGCAATTTGTCCAAGGACGAATGCAATATAAATAGTGATATTATACTAAATTTCCAAGTAGTGTGACGCTAGAGGAAAATTATCATTCGGCAAGCACCAAATGCAAGTAAAAATGGCATAAAAACATGTCAGTGGCTGGTAACTTTATAAGGGACTGCAATATAATACATGATTTCAAATCAATTGTGTGAATGATAGTCTGAATCTCTCTTATGTAAGCAAAGTGAACAATTCAAATCAAAGACATACAAACCATCTGCTAAAGAAAACATCTGACACCTTTACCTTGTGATCAAAAGCTGGAAAGCACTAAAGTAGCTAATGAAAACATGTTCATGATGTTGTTTTGCTGAATGCATTACAAAATAGTGACATGCATAGCTGAGCAGAACAGGCAGCTTACCGTAGTATTAATTACTGGGAAACTAAAGGAAGCTGCCTTAGGCTCTTTAAACTCTTCTGTACTCACAGTATGCCCCATATGTGCACTACAGCTGAAGGGTAGTCATGCTGTCAAGCATAGTGTAACAAGGTGAAACAGACTATTTTTAACCCTGAGTCTCTGTATAAGCTACGGTCAGTTACCGCTCAGTTGTAAAGCAGGATTGAACATTTCGATTTGGATTTGCGGCTTTATCCAAAGACATTTTGCCACTCTCTATTTTCTATTAAAGTGTAATTATTAGCAAGCTCAGGATAAAATCCAAAGTGACTCTCACGTTTGATTCCTCTCAAACTGCAGAGTGTTAAGTTAATTTTAGCATAAAGTAACACTAAAATACTTTGTAAATTACTCACCACTGCATATCTGTTGCACAGTAAAAAACGTTCAAAAGTTCAGGGACAGTAGGATTTAATATTTTTTTTACATGTTTTCACCCACCAGTTGTTTCAAACCTGTGTAATTTTCTTTCTTATTAATGTTAGTAACCAAACAGTTGCTGGTAGCCGTTGACTTCCATAGTATGAAAAAAAATACTATGGAAGTCAATGGCTAACTTCACCTGATAATTCTTCAAAAATATCTTCTTATGTATTCAGCAGAAGAAAGAAACTCATACAGGTTTGGAACAACATGAGGTTGAGTAAATGATGACACAATTTTCATTTATGGGTATATCCTTTTAAGCAAGGCTGCATTAAATTGATCAAAACAAGTCACAGTAAAAACTTTTACATTGTTACACCAAAACAATTATTTCTGACACTGAAGTCTGGAGTAATGACTGCTGAAAATTCTGTTTTGCTATCAGAGGATTAAATTACTTTTTGAAATAATATTTCACAGTATTACAGTTTTTAATGTATTTTTGTTCAAATAAAAA